CTCTCTCTCTGTCTCTCTCTCTCTATCTCTCTCTCTCTCAATTCAAATCAATTCAATTCAATTCAAGGGGCTTTATTGGCATGGGAAACATAGGTTTACATTGCCAAAACAAGTGAAATAGATAATAAACAAAAGTGAAATAAACAGAATAATCAGAAATGAACAGTAAACATTACACTCACAAAAGTTCCAAAAGAATAAAGACATTTCAGATGTCATATTATGTATATATAAAGTGTTGTAACAATGTGCAAATAGTTAAAGTACAAAAGGGAAAATAAATCAACATAAATAAAAATGTGTGTCTCTAATATGGTCATACATTTGGCAGGAGGTTAGGAAGTGCAGCTCAGTTTCCACCTCATTTTGTGGGCAGTGTGCACATAGCCTGTCTTCTCTTGAGAGCCAGGTCTGCCTACGGCAGTTTAAGTATCGCCAGTTGGAATTTGTGGTCTGTATATTTTATCATTTCATTTAGGATACCATCAACACCACAGGACTTTTTGGGTTGGAGGGTTTGTATTTTGTCCTGTAGTTCATTCAATGTAATTGGATAATCTTTGTTATAGAGCCAAAAAGATTGGAGAAGTGGTTTACCCATACATCTCCGTTTTGGATAGATAGCTCTTCGTGTTGTTTGTTTAGTGTTTTCCAATTTTCCCAGAAGTGGTTAGAGTCTATGGATTCTTCAATTACATTGAGCTGATTTCTGATTTTCTGACGTGCTGTTCCTTCTTTTTCCATAGTGTATTTCTGTATTGTTTTAGTGATTCACCATAGTGAAGGCGTAGACTCAGGTTTTCTGGGTCTCTATGAGTGGCGCAGTGGTCTAAGGCACTGCATCGCAGTGCTAGCTGTGCCACTAGAGATCCTGGTTCGAATCCAGGCTCTGTCGTAGCCGGCCGCGACCGGGAGACCCATGGGGCGGCGCACAATTGGCACAGCGTCGTCCAGGGTAGGGGAGGGAATGGCCGGCAGGGATGTAGCTCAGTTCGTAGAGCATGGCGTTTGCAACGCCAGGGTTGTGGGTTCGATTCCCACGGAGGGTATCATAAAAAATAAAAAGTAATGTATGCACTAACTGTAAGTCGCTCTGGATAAGAGCGTCTGCTAAATGACTCAAATGTAAACGTCTATGGTTTTGGTTGGATAGGTTTCTCAATGTCTTTCTCAATGTCTTTCTCAAACCATTTGTCATTGTTGTTAATTTTCTTAGGTTTTCTGCTTGACATTTTTAGATTTGATAGGGAAGCTGAGTGGTCAAATATACTGTTTAGGTTGGAATTTGTTGTTGCCTAATTGTCTCTGTCTCTCTCTCTCTCAAATCAATCAATCAATCAAATGTTATTCATAAAGCCCTTTTTATATCAGCAGATGAAACAAAGTCCTTATACAGAAACCCAGCCTAAAACCCCAAACAGCAAGCAATGCAGATGTAGAAGCACGGTGGCTAGGAAAAACTCCCTAGAAAAGGCAGGAACCTAGAGAGGAACCTAGAGAGGAACCAGGCTCTGAGGGGTGGCCAGTCCCCTTCTAGCTGCCGGGTGGAGATTATAACAGGCCAGAACTTACCGGTGTTCCTCCTGGTTCACCTTTGGTGTGAGTGGACAGCCTTTAGTGGCTTCAAGTGTTACAAACATCAATATAAACTTGCACAACATATCAAGTTTCTAGAACAGAGTCATTCATAGACTTTCATCACAATTGTCATGGTTAATTAATACTGTCAGCTGACCTATAAAATGTGGATGTATTGTGTGCCGCCAAACTGACCCTTTTTGTCTCGTGTCTTCCCTCTTTAGACTACTTGGTCCCTCTCCTCTCTTCAGTCTTCATCGTCTTGTGCATCCTGGTGCTGGTCTCCGTCTTCCTGTACTGCATGCGTCGCCGGCGGAAACATGGCAACGGAGCCTCGTCGTCCGCGGCGACAGATGACAGCACCACCAACAACGTCCGCGAGCAGCTCAACCAGATCAAGAACCCCATCAACGAGAAACACGCTGGCGGCGGCCATCTTACGGTGTCGGTGGCCTTCAAAGACTACGAGGATAAAGACTGAGGTACGAACACACCACCGCCCCCTAGAGGGGGGAGGAGGACAACGATGAAGAGAGACAGATGGGGAATAAAGGACGCTTCACGGTTACAACCAAACAGCCTGCCTACACACTGGTGGAGCGGGAGGACCGGGGGACCAAGGAGGACGGCAGGACCACGCCGCAGCCCAGCTCCAAACACCCTAACTGGACTAATAAACAGGACAACAGGGTTCTGGAGACGGCACACAGCATCAACAGGATGGACTACAACGTATAGCAGGAAATGACATAGCAGGAGGCAGGAAGTAGCATGTAAACCCTGTGTAAAGAATTCCCACTTCCTGGACGTTATGGTCATCCCGGCAAGGTGGTCCTTCTGATACGCTGTGTTGACGCTGTGTTGCCGTGCAACCATTGACCTTAGTGAAGAGGACCAGGGGGAGTGTTCTGGGATTCGTAGTTTTGTAGTTCCTAAACTGTTGCGTCATTATTCTGTGACTACAAGGTTTGTTGTTTGGATGAATGAGTCCCTGGCTGCGCCAGATGTGATACTCTATTCCCTATGTAGTGCACTACTTTTGACTAGAGCCCTATGGGTTTAATGGACCATATAGGGAATAGGGGGCCATTTGACTGTTTAATTTAAGTTTTGACTAGCTGGCTTCACTGGCAGAGAAGGCTGATGTGGTTGGCTGGTGAGCAGTTGCTGGCAATATGAAGAATGTATGTGTCAATTTAGAATGTGTACATTTATTAATCATTGTGTATATTTGATTTATTAACTTAATAATAATCCAGAGCCTGAAGATATCATTCCTTTTTATTTATATGTCTCTAGATTTAGAAGGTTTTGGTAACTTTGTAACATTTTATTTTTTGACATTTATTAAACGTCAGAGGAAGAAGAAAATAAGGACTTTTCTAAAATAAAGAAAAATATATAATAATTGTTATTATTATTATAAATAAATGTTATATTCTTTTTTTATGATTTCAGATGTTTTCAAATATCAATTTTGCGAAGACTGCAGGTTACACATTCTCAGAAAACTATATCTGACAACTTAGGGGAGGGTGGGGTAAGTTTAGCCTTTTTACATTCAGCATCACTCCGTCAAGGGAAATATAGGATTCTTTCTAACAGGACGTTGTGTTTCCCTGGAAATAATCAGAATTAATGTAAACATTACAGTTTTGAAAAGATAGCTTGTTAAAAAAGAAAGTGGTATTTTGGCACAACTTTCCCCGGGTATGGGGTAAATTGAGCGAGCGGGACAGGGTAAGTTGCCTACACATTTCTGTAAAGCATGAAATATTACCACTACCTTTTTAAAACCATGTCGATCTTTATTTCACAATAGCTTTTTTTGTCTTGTAATCATTTTAAACATATTTTAACAGGCTTAACGCCTAACAAACACTCTGTACTTTTTTGAACACTTTTAACATAGGTCCAGTTGTTACCTCATATCCCGGCGATAATGCCTTGCATTACACCCAAGGCAAACATGTTGACTATGTTAGCCCACACCGCTACGAGGATGCACTTTCATGCTAGGTTTAGGAAGTCATATTGAAGCTTATAGAGACCCCAGCTGATATATAGAACAATCTTTAAATTATATACTTTGGTTTAGATAAAAGCGTCATGAAACCTCTTAACACAATAAATTAATTTGACTTGGTCAAAATCTTTTTTTTTTTGGACCTAACTTTGTTTACCACCAATTCCATGTGGTTTCTTCCTTCAAAGACTCCACGAAAGGATGACCTCTTCCTAAATATTTGGTCAACTGATACATTTTCTGTATGTTTCCTAGAAAGAAGGGCGGCTCAACTTGCCCCACTCTCCCCAATGGAAAATCACAACAATCACGTATCAATATGTCAAACCAGAAACAATCCCTTCTGCTTCATAGTCAGTCTATAGTCATAGCAGTACCAAGACTACTGGAACAGTAGAGGGTCAATAGTCTGCTCTGAGTCCCAGATCTGTCCATTGCTGTGACCGCTGTCATTGTTACACATGTTGGGAAGACTGCACAAACAGATCTGGGACTCGGGCTAGGGCAGCGTTTCCCTAACTTAGTCCTGGGGACGCCAACGGGTGCATGCTTAGGTTTTTGCTCTCACTACAAAGCTGATTCAAATGATCAACTCATCAAAGCTTTGGTTATTTGAATCAGCTGTGTAGTGCTAGTGCAAAACCAAAACGTGCACCCCTTGGGGTCCCGAGGACCGAGTTGGAGAAATGCTGGGCTAGGGTGTGAATGGGAACACTGCAGGATCGGATCATATCCACACTTCTGTCCTTCTCTCTGCTCGGCGCTGCGGGAGACTGTTCTTTTGTTTCTGTTTAAATGCACACTTCAAAAAAGACATGTTTTATCTCAGATGTTAATACTTTATGAGATCGTGGCAACATTCATTTTGTGTTCTTTTTCCACTCTTGTGTTATGAATTTTAGAATGTATTTGTGTTGATGATGTTGCAATCCTGGCAATCTTTATAGGGGGGTTTGTTCTTTTGAAAAAGTCAATATTTATTAAATATTTTGTATGAAAAGAGATATTAAACAGTCCCTGTTCTGGATTCATCTTCTGAGTAAAGTGACTGGATGAAATGATTAATATAGAAATACATTGCTGGGATTCACCCAAACCTGCCGTAGATTGTTGACGCAGTCTCTTTGTTTACAGAATGCACCCCACAGTTCACCCCGTGCACAACACAGGTTTTCATTCTGTTTAATATCAGTCCCTGTTCAGTTCACCCCGTGCACAACACAGGTTTTCATTCTGTTTAATATCAGTCCCTGTTCAGTTCACCCCGTGCACAACACAGGTTTTCATTCTGTTTAATATCAGTCCCTGTTCAGTTCACCCCGTGCACAACACAGGTTTTCATTCTGTTTAATATCAGTCCCTGTTCAGTTCACCCCGTGCACAACACAGGTTTTCATTCTGTTTAATATCAGTCCCTGTTCAGTTCACCCCGTGCACAACACAGGTTTTCATTCTGTTTAATATCAGTCCCTGTTCAGTTCACCCCGTGCACAACACAGGTTTTTATTCTGTACCCAACACCAGTCTGGGAGATTATGGGAAAAGTAGCTACTGTGTAAATTAGGGGTGGGCATTTGACATTATTTTAAAACGCTTGACTCTCTTGACCAATCAGAATGATGCACATGGTGAAGGTAAACATGCTGCTTTTCTCTGTTGTTTTTTTGCTAAAGGCAACAGTGAAAGAGAAGTCTGATTTTCACCATGACAGAACTGACTGTTACAAAAAGGTTTTCTGGTGAGTGTTTTGAATTGATCGGTGTCAGGACTTTTGGAAACTCTGTTAGGTGAGCGTCTTTAATTGCTATTTTTAAGTGGGTAAAATAGCATACTGACGTCAGGGCAGACTGGATAAGGGCTAAATGAGAGTTGCTCAACGCACGGTTATAAAACTACATTCAAAAGTTTGTTTTATTAAATTAAGTACTTCAGATGTCATGGTATATCCTAGTAGGTAACAGTGTCACAAGGATAAGCCAATTAAATTTCTAACAAAGCTTTTTCATTGCCAAAATAAGCCTACAATGTTTTTTCCCAAAAATTTAACACACTCAAGTAATCGAATACTAATGTCCGTTCAGATAACCGTGCCGTCCCTAGTGTAAATACTGCAGAGCAGTTTTGATTTAATTGAGCCTTGTGGGCCTCTACACTATCCCAGATGCTTTTAACCAAGCATGTCAGGGCCTATGACAGGCACTCGATTTACTGGCAGTCCACTGGTCCAAAGTGGTACACTACATAGGGAACAGGGTGCCCTTATGGAAACAGGTCCAAAGTGGTGCACTACATAGGGAACAGGGTGCCCTTATGGAAACACCCTAAGGACCTTTATTCTAGCCAGACATGTTAGTTAGAGCGTATGACAGGGAGGTTCTCAGTGTGGGAACAACTTCATAGTGAGATGACAGATTTAGTTTAAGAAGCAACACTGTCTGAACTAAGTGTGAACTACTGGCCCACAGCTCGGACACCCATGCAACTAGTGATTACTGTAGGCCAGAGCCAGACTCCTTTCAATCAGACGGACTGTCCCAAAGACTGACATTGTTCCAGAAATATCCTACTAGGTGCACATGGGCCTGAATAGGGTTGGGGTCAATTCCGTTCCAATTCAGGAAGTCAAGTAGTCAGCTGAAATCAAGCAAGATTGGAATTTCAGTTTACTTCCAGAATTTAAATAGAATTGGCCCCAACATACATCCCTGAGTCACTACAGCACTTTTAGTTTGGGATTTCTGACATTTAATTTGTATCTACTTGCCCAGAGTCCGATTAACTAATTGATACCATTTGTATGTCTCTGCATCCAGTATGAAGGAAGTTAGAGGTAGTTTTGCAAGCTAATGCTAACTAGCGTTAGTGCAAGTGTAACCGGTGTGAAATGGCTAGCTAGTTAGCAGTGCGCGCTAGTACCATTTCAATCGGTGACGTCACTCGCTCTGAGACCTTGAAGTAGTTGTTTCCCTTGCTCTGCAAGGGCCGCGGCTTTTGTGGAGCGACGGGTAACGGTGCTTCATTTACATTTACGTCATTTAGCAGACGCTCTTATCCAGAGCGACTTACAAATAGGTGGATTCACCTTATAGCCAGTGGGATAACCACTTTACAATGTTTTTTTTTTTTTTGGGGGGGGGGGGTAGAAGGATTACTTTATCCTATCCCAGGTATTCCTTAAAGAGGTGGGGTTTCAAATGTCTCCGGAAGGTGGTGAGTGACTCCGCTGTCCTGGCGTCGTGAGGGAGCTTGTTCCACCATTGGGGTGCCAGAGCAGCGAACAGTTTTGACTGGGCTGAGCGGGAACTATGCTTCCGCAGAGGAAGGGGCGCCAGCAGGTCAGAGGTGGATGAACGTAGTGCCCTCGTTTGGGTGTAGGGTCTGATCAGAGCCTGAAGGAAAGGAGGTGCCGTTCCCCTCACAGCTCCGTAGGCAAGCACCATGGTCTTGTAGCAGATGCGAGCTTCAACTGGAAGCCAGTGGAGTGTGCAGAGGAGCGGGGTGACGTGAGAGAACTTGGGAAGGTTGAACACCAGACGGGCTGCGGCATTCTGGATGAGTTGTAGGGGTTTAATGGCACAGGCAGGGAGCCCAGCCAACAGCGAGTTGCAGTAATCTAGACGGGAGATGACAAGTGCCTGGATTAGGACCTGTGCCGCTTCCTGTGTAAGGCAGGGTCGTACTCTCCGAATGTTGTAGAGCATGAACCTGCAGG